TTTAAAAATTGTCAAAGTTGAAATTTATAATAAAAACATAGTAAGTGGACTCAAACTTTTGAAAGCAACCGTATATAAAGTACTACTTTCTTCTAATAATTAAATCTATTCTATAAATCAATAAGGCTTATCTTGCATTATATGTATCATGTAACCTAAAAATAAAACTAGAGTAATATAATAGATAAGAACTATAAATTATAACTAAAGAAGAATATAGTTATTAATTAAAGTTAATAGTAGAAGTAACTTTTGAAATCATATTTCAAGTTGTTTTAATGAAAATATTAAGACTTAATTTATTAACAAAAAAGTAAAAAAACTCTGCAAATATTTTTTTTTATATAATTAGAGAATTATAAAAAGAGTTTAATCCATAAACTTTATTAATAATATAAAAATAATATAAATTTATCTTGAAATCTATTTAATAAATATATTAAAAAATTTTATAGCATATACTATATATATAATAGAATTGATTATCTTACTATATATAGTAATTTTATCTTAATTTTATTATTAATTGATTTTCAATATTATTTAAAAACATAATAATTCTACTATAATTCTATTTTTTAAAGTTTTTAAAATTTAATTTTACCATATGTATAGAATATACAATATATATAGTTTATATAAAATATACAAAAATTTAAAAATCAAATAATTTAAGATATATTATATTCAATTTTTAATGTTTTTTTAATTATATTTGTATTAAAAGAAATATAATAAAAAATGAGTATAATATAATTGTTGTAACTAAATTTTAACTATTTCTCCAATCCAACTTGCGACTCTTTTTCCCATCTTTTCGCCATAACCTTGACAAGTCATATAAATAGTTAGCAAATAGAATCACCAATTCAGTATAAAGAAGAAAATAACAAAAACCTACCAATTACAAAAGCATGTGGCATTCCTTGATCACACAATATAATCTTTCCTTCAGGGAATCTCCTCAACATATCGTCGTAATGATTCAACGGAGCCCAATTATCACCAACAGTAAAATAAAAGATAAATTTTTCAAGGTGTTGTCTATAGAAATCTTCGTCTAATTCTTTAACAGTTTCCATCTCGGTATTAGCCATATAAAGAGCATTTTTGACTATTGGTCCGTGAAGTAGCTTTTCAGTAGTAACCGATAATTGTGGTTCTGGTTGAAAGGTACATAACCATATTATGAATCTAAAAATCCTTGGTGCCAATAGATTACGCAGTGATTGAACAAACAAACTCGCAAGGTTTCTTTGACTTTCACCAAATAAAAACTATTAAAATTTTTCATTGTTTTATGATTAATATTAATTCATTATGCCAAAATCAACTTCGATTGCATACATTTAACATAACACCGTTAGGTGTTTTTCCTATATGCTGCAGCGTGGGAAATAGAGAGTATACATTTATAATTCCACAATCTGGACGTGCCTTTAACACCTAAAAACGAAATGATTAATAAAGCTACATATAATTCGTGGCAATTTAGATGTGACATACCTGCGAACATATGTAGGCGCCAATAGAATGACCACACAAAATAAATTTTGTTGGATGATTATCTGCTGAAAATTTCTCGTACAAATCGTCAAAACATCGAATTTTGTGATTAATTTGTTCTTGCAATGAATATAGTGTATCCGAGTTATCAAATGGTTCATATGAATGACCGAGATTAGAAACTAAGTGAAATTGTATATGTTGTTAGCAAGAACAATAATATAATGTAGAACAAAGTAGACTCTACCTCCAATAATATCAATCCTTTTGTCATGTTCTTTGTGAATGGTAGTCAGAAAAGGAATGTAATAATCAATGACACCTGGGTTACCAGGGACCATCAAGAAAATGATATTTTCGCTCGAGGTTCCTTTTTCAGCATGCCACCATAAGGAATCAGTTAAATTTCCTGCAACATCCCACTTCTTTTTGATAGGATACTCATAATTTAAGTGAGATTCTGTCATCATGTTCGGTAAGCGGTTCGCAAAGATGCCTGAGGATTCTATGTCAACGTTTTATACTTATCTGACTCGAAGATTTTATCACGAAAGCGAGGTGAAAGTCTTATCAAGTAAGATCATCAATCTAATGTTGAAAGCCATATGAATTTCATATATTGATATAACGAAAATTTTCTTGCTAACGATTTATTTTTTTATTTTATATAATCATGAATGATCATTTGGGTACTTGTAATATCTTAAATCAATATAATGTAACCTTAGGGCAATTGGTAAAAAATTCCATCATATAGACGAACCCCAAAATCTACATTTTGAATCAATCACAATTGGATTATGTTTGAATAAGTTAATATTGTTCCAAATTCATTTTTTTGATAGATTCAAAATTTGCTTATACGTACAGTATATGCGTATATTTAAAATCTTAATATACAATGTAGGACACTTGCTTTTGAAAAATTTTAATTAATGATAATTTAATAAAGATTATATTAATAAAAAAACAAATATCCTTTATTTGATGATTATTAATAAATTTATTATAAAATTCTATTTTAAAGTTTAAAAAAACTATTTTTAAAAAATTAATTTTTTTTTTTTTATCCTTTGTCAGGCTAATTATGTGTGCTTTATTAAATATTAGTATATTATACATATTAAATAAATTGCTAAAGCTAAATATCTAATTAGTATACTCATATTGATTATTACCACTCTAAGTATAACTTTGGAAGTGATTTATTGCTCCATTAGTAGCTCAGGTAAAAACCCTTCCAACTACTAATTTCATTGCCTAAAGATTACAATTGCAGATTCTTCTTATGAATTCTGACAAAAGTTAAAATCCTAACCATCTTATTTCATACTTTACTTCTTCTAGGAAGGTTTGTTTCAGACTTTCATCTTCAAGTTTTTTTTCTTTCTGTAAAGACTTTTTCATAGTTGTGGTCTTGTTGTTTTGATTTAATGGACTGGCTGGGATTCTTAGTTTATCTTTTCTATTAATTTCTTATGCTTGTTTCTATTTTATCATTCTTGAGCATCTTTTGTTCCAGATTTTCTTTTGAAATTAATTGCAAACCTTTTTCTGCATTTTCACTATCCACTTTCAGACTTCTTTACCTATTTTTTTCTGATAACATCTTAGATTTGACATTTTCAATATCTGATTACTTTGTATTAGTCACATGCAAAAGTTTAGTATGTTCTGACCTGTTTCTACAATCTTTTCTATAAGCCTAACTATGTATTTGTCTAATTATAATAGCTCAGGTAAAAACCCTTTCAACTACTAATTTTATTGCTTAAAGATTACAATTGCAGATTCTTCTTATGAGTTCTGACAAAAGTTAAAACCCTAACCATCTTATTTTATACTTTACTCCTTCTAGGAAGATTTGTTTCAGACTTTCATCTTCAAGTTTTTTTTCTTTCTGTAAAGACTTTTTCATAGTTATGATCTTGTTGTTTTGGTTTAATAGACTGGCTGATCTTATTAGTTTGTCTTTTCTATTAATTTCTTGTGCTTGTTTCCATTTGATCATTCTTGAGTACCTTTTGTTTCAGAATTGATTGCAAACCTTTTTTTGTATTTTTACTATCCACTTTCAGACTTCTTTATCTATTCTTTTCTAGCAATATCATAGGTTTGACATTTTCAATATTTGATCACTTTGTATTAGTCCCATGTAGAAGTTTGGTATGTTCTGACCTGTTTCTGCAATCTTTTTTATAAGCCTAACTATGTATTTATCTAATTATAGTAGCTTAGGTAAAAACCCTTCCAACTACTAATTTTATTGCCTAAAGATTACAATTGCAAATTCACCTTATGAGTTTTGATAGAAGTTAAAACCCTAACCATTTTATTTCATACTTTACTCCTTCTAGGAAGATTTGTTTCAGACTTTCATTTTCAAGTTTTTTTTCTTCCTGTAAAGACTTTTTCATAGTTGTGATTTTATTGTTTTGATTTAATAAACTGGCTAATCTTCTTAGTTTGTCTTTTTTATTAATTTCCTGTGCTTGTTCCCATTTGATCATTCTTGAGCACCTTTTGTTTCAGATTTTCTTTCAGAATTGATTGCAAATCTTTTTTTGCATTTTCACTATCCACTTTCAGACTTCTTTACCTATTCTTTTCTAGTAACATCCTAGGTTTGACATTTTCAATATCTGATCACTTTGTATTAGTTCTATGCAGAAGTTTAGTATGTTCTGGCCTGTTTCTGCAATCTTTTCTATATGCCTGGCTATGTATTTGTCCAATTATCCTAATTCTATTCTGTCTTTAACTAGAAGTCTTATTTCTTTCTCTTCCATCTCTTTTTTTCTCTTGTGTAGAAATTTTTGAAAGTTTTTTAGAACATTTTTAGCTCCTTTGTTTCAAATTTCTTGCCATTAGACTTATACTGGACATTCTAATAGGTGTTCTATTGTTTCTGCTTGCTGTTTGCATACTATACGCTCTACTTGCTTATATAGATCTAGTCTTCTTATGGCCAATTTGGAAGTGTTGATAACTTTTTATTGATTAATTTGATAAGGAAGTTTCTTTTTTGAGAATCTTTAAAGAAGGTATCTCAAGTGTATCCATTCTTTATCATTTTCCATATCAAATCCCATATGTAGTTATATTGATCTCGAATCTATTGATTTCATTCATTCAAAATCCTGTTTTGTTTAGTCCAATGATGAGCTATAACTTTGTTATTCATATTTTTGATAAATTGTCTAATAGGATTATCTAAAATTATTTAAGCCATTTGATTTTAGTAATAATTTTGGATGAAGTAAAATTCTTTTATTCAATTACAGGAAACTAGGAATCACAATTTTTATCTGAATCCAAATGATCCATGGATTTGATTCAAATAAATCGGATCAGAATTAAATTTTTTGATCTGTTTGTATATGAATCAGATACTGATTTCAAATTTTGAAATTCGATCTAATCAGATTTTATATTTTGTATCTGATTAGATTTCAAGTTTTAAAATCTAGCCAGGTTCAAATAAAATTTAGCAGTTTAACTATATTTAAATGTAGCTATTTAAGGTAATTAAAAAAAAAACTCACTGAATTTTTTTTTATATTCCTTTAACACATTTATATGTTTCTTTAAAATTTTATAATATTTTTTACGATATTTTTTTTCTTGCAACATTACTAATATTATTTATATCAAAAATAAAATAGAATATGATAGATCTTTCAATGATTCCAATAAAATAAATAATGAAAGTTTTAGTTTAAATAGCTATAAATTAAGTGATACCAGCAATGTTGCTATAAGTAGTTTTTTAAAGGTATCATCGAGTAATAAAATAAATTATAAAAGTAAAGTATGGAATCATTTTACAAAAGATTCCGATTTCAATGAAAGTAAAAAATTTTCCTGCAATTATTGCAATACCAAATATACCTGTAGTGGAGGCAGCACCTCTAATCTTTTCAAACACTTAGAAAAAAACCATCCAATAAAAATAAATCCATATTCTGATAAACCTTTAATCAAAAATTTTTTTAATACTACAGTAGTCAGTATAAATATATTTATTAAATTTAAAACCATGCTAAAATTTGTTTTTTATATAGTAAGTACATGAACCTGAAAAAGTAAAACAAAATCTCATCTGATGGATTGTCATAAACCAACACCCTTTTACAATTATAGAGGAGCCAGCATTCTGTACATTTATCCAATCAATCTTATAAAAAACTAAAATACCAGCTGCTGCAACTGTTAAAACATATATAATGGATTCATACTTGGTTAATTAAGAAAAAATTAAAAAAATTTTGTAAGAAATGGAGAGTCATATTTCATTCATCTTCAATATTTGGACATTAACTTTGATGAAGACATTTCTAGCAATAACTGCACATTTTATTAGCAGTGATTGGAAAATACATAATATAACATTAGATTTTATACAAATCTGAGGCATATATACATGTGAAAATATTAAAAAAAGTTTTGTATTGTGCTTTGAAAATATATGATACAAAAGAAGATAAATTTATTTTACAATAATATATTGCAGTTACATGTTATTATATATATATATATATATATATATATTAAAGATAATAGGAATAATGACTGACAAAGCATCAAATAACTTATCATTTATTAAATTACTAAAAGAATGGGAAAACTTGCAAGCAATTTCATTCAATACAGAAGAGAATCATTTTTAATGTCTTGCATACTACATTAATATCAGGATCCAAAAAGCCTTGAATATACTTTCAAATAAATTGTAGAAGATAAATTTTTTATAGATAGGTTATTTTATTTTTATATTTGTAACTAAATTATATATATATAGTTGCATAGGCTTATCGTAAAAATATGATCATTACCTCAACAATATAAAAAATTAAATGCAGCTTGAAAGTCCCTAGGAATAAAAGCTTTGAAACTAATTTGAATATAAAAACATATTAGAATTTAACATATGAAATAGTGGCCCATACTATATAGTTAAAAGCAACAAGTTTAATTTGTTTTTATTGATATTTATTTTAATTTTAATTTTAAAAAATTTATATATAGGCAATCGAGAATATTATGATATCAAGCCAAAAACCAAAACAATATATATTTATCAATGATGATTGGAATATATTCAGCAGGTTATAGAATTGCTCGGGCAGTTTAAAGAAACAATAGAAATAATTTCAGCTTCAAGCTATCCGATACTTTCCTCAATCATCCCTAGATATAATACATTAATTAATCATTTAGAAGATATGTATAGTAAAAAAAAAGTCGACAAAACAATAAAAAAAGTAGCTGCTACTTGTTTAGAAAAATTTAAAGAGTACTATAACAAGACTAATAAAACAAGCTTACTGACAGTTATTTTAGATCTGAGATTTAAAATAGAATATTATGAAATAAATAAGTGAAAAGAAATGGGCAGTGAAATTAAAGAAAGATAAGTATATTTTTATATTTTATTAAATATGATAAAATAAATATTAAGTATGTTGCA